TACCAAACATGGTCTCTCTCTCTCTCTCTCTCTCTCTCTCTCTCTCTCTCTCTCTCTCTCTCTCTCTCTCTCTCGTCATATTCCTTCCATAAATATCTGCTACACCTGCTACTTTCTCCATTTTAATGCCTAGAAATAAGGAAAGAATAAATCGTGGCTCCATGAATTCATAATTTCCTCCATATATTTTCCGTTCACAACCACCGTTTTACATGTCAAACTAAGTCACATTCATCGGTCTACGTATCACTATAGGAGACATTTGAAATTCATAATGGTACACAAAATTGTGACTTTTGATGTGACTGTATCCATGTGACATACGAAATTATGGATTGATAATATGTAACATCAAAATAAAATACAACAATTATGACATATGCAATTTATGGGTGTGACATTTATGACCTCTCACAATAAAGACGAAAAATGAAAAGAATTAAGTATTTCTCTCTCCAAACGATAGAATCAATTTTATGTAATTTGAATTTTAAAAATTAAAAATCAGATATGTATTAACACAATTAACATGACTGGGACAAAATAAAAACCTATATTAAAAATATTTTTAAATATTTATTAAAATAATACCTAATTTGTGAATAAAAAATAATACATTATTTTTTATAATCGAAACTTAAAAAGCATGATTTCCTATAATTTTCTCAAAATGAAATGCGCTGAGCACGTGCTGGGCTGTATTTCAGTGGGCTAGACTTCATGCAATAGAAATGGGCTTCAAAATGTCCACAAGCCTATTCCTGCTTTGTGGAGCCTGGAGTTGAAAGACGAAAGTGGACTGCCTGCGGATCCAATAATTAAAAATCGGGTGGCAACAAGGTGAGTGTGAGTCTGGTTGATGTCAGGATAGCCATTCTCGTCCTCCATTTCATCGACTATTTTTTTCTCTTTGTCCCACTCCCATACCCGGTTAAGGCGGGTCGGGAAGGAGACCTATCATGTTTATCGTCCCATTTACATTTATTTTACTTTATTAATATTTTTCGTTTGTGAAAATCATTATTTTTTTTCAAATTTTAGAAGAATCCACGTTTCATTTAGAAATGGTGACCATCATTTTCTTTTTGTGTGATAAAAAATTTACTAGAAATGAATTTTAAACCCTTGTTTGAGTTCCATTATTTCCAAAATACATTTTTCGAAAAATTATTTTCTAACATACATTCTTCTATAAAATAATATTACACATATATCCAAAAAAAAATTCTTATATTTTAACCACATGTTCAAAAAATTACTATTTCAAAATACATTTTCTTCTAAAATGAAGCCCAAACAGGGGCTAAACTGGACACGAAGGGGACAATGTTCCCTGTCCCGCCCATGTCTCGAAAAAGCGGTCCTTGCCATGTCCCTAGTCCCGTTCCCGCCCAGTGTACCCTATTAGACTGGGGAATTTACTTATCATTTGGAAGGGGTCCGCGGATAGGGTACAACGAGTTTTTTTTGTTTTTTTGTCATCTATAATCCTAGAATGTTTTCTATTTAATGATAAATTAGAATATTAGAGAATTTTTATTTGAAAATTAAGAATAGTTGAAACCAATATCGATTAATTTCTTTCTTATCCTATAAACTTACATCCGTCTGTGTCTGTACAACTCACTTTCAAATTTAACGCTATAGATATCAATTAACATTTAACACCGAAAAATGGAGGAAAAAAATTCCCAACCACAATCACATTCTTCTTTGCCTCATTAATTCCAGCAACACCATTTCAGGGTTATATAAATTTTCTCCTAAACATCAACGGTTGGATTCTGACCTTCATCGACCATTTATTATTAGAGAGAGAGAGAGAGAGAGAGAGAAATTCAATGGTAGGCCATTGTGAATCAATTTTTTGATTTAGTTCGTCCATTTATTTTTTAATTCAATTCTTTCCATCCCTTGTGAATACGGTTATGAAAATGAGAAATTTGGGTAGTGCGACCATCTTCAGGAACTTCAATAAATATGACAATCTTGCATGATTACAAGC